TTTTTATTTGGTTTTTGTTAGGTGTAGTTGTAATGAATATTTTTGTAATTGATTTTTTACTAATTTATAAAATTTGTGAAGTTATTTTTGGTGTTCAGTTTGATTTCTGATTGCTGTTTTGTTTCAAGTAAGTCACTTCGGATAAAATAAAGTGACTTTAATTAACACAAGGAACTGACTTCGGACACACAATAAAATCAGCAAAAGGATTGACTTCCGATATACATGAGGCATACCTCAAATATACAAATGAAAAGAGATGAATTACAACACTCCGTAAGTGAAGTGTAATTAATAAAATAGCATCCCAGAAAATGAAGTGACTAAATACGTCACAATGAATTGACTTCAGGAATAAGTGAAATTTACTTCTAATGTACAGGAGGGTAGAAAGAACTGAATCACTTCGAATGTGAAGTGAAATTCATTAATGAAATAAATGAATTGAGCTCGTATATACATTGAGTAGAAAGAGAGAATAATGACGCTTATAAAAATAAGACAAAGTTCACTGGAAAGAAGTGTACTAAGGGTAAAATTTCTTCAAGTTATTGACATTCCAGACTCTAGGAACCCTTTTGCCTTCAGTGTCCCGTAGGATATAAGCACCTGGGTGCAGCACTTCGGCGACAATGTAGGGGCCTTCCCAGTTTGGTGCTAACTTTCCAAATCGAGTTTTGAACCCCGTTAGGCCAGCTTTCTTGAGAACAAGGTCTCCTACTTTGAATGTTCGGGGTCGAACTTATTTGTTGTAGAAGTTGGCTATTTTCTACTTGTATACAAGAGTTCGAAGCCGTGCTTCTTCTCTAACTTCATCAAGCAAATCAAGGTTCTCCCGAAGCAGTTGTCCATTTCGTCCTTCATTGAAATGGGTGACCTTGAAGCTTGGGACTCCTATCTCGATAGCAATGACTGCTTTGGTACCAACGGCTAAGTGGTAGGGTGTTTCACCTATTTCAGTTAATTAAAAGTTTAGAATGCGCTTTACGCATTATGCACATTTGATCTAAGGTAAAGCCGTAGAAGAAGAAGTAAAATATTATGAAAGTTAATCAAGTAAACCAGGTTTGAAGAATACTTGTGGTGGTTCGGCTTGTGGTTCTGTATGCCCAGAGGACGTTATTGAGCTCGTCTGCCCACTTGGCCTTGTGCAACTCTAACCTTGGTTTTATCGCCTCAAGTATAACCTTGTTGACAGATTCTACCATCCCATTAGATTCCGGGTGGTACACCGAGTTGAACTACAACTTGATCCCATAACTAGAGCAGAAATCTCGAAATGAGGAGCAGTTGAACTGAGTTCCATTATCAGCCACAACCTGATTCGGGATTCCATATCTGCAGATGATTGAGCTGAAAACAAAGTCTTTGACCTTCTTGGAGGTAAGATGGATAATGGCCGAGCTTCAACCCATTTTGTAAAATAATCCACACCGACAATAAGATGGGTTACACCTCCTACCCCCTTCATAAATGGACCTAAAAGATTAAGTTCCCACTAAGCAAATGGCCAAGGTGCTATCAGAGTAGTGAGCTCTTCTACTGGCTGGTGGATTAGATGTGCGAAGAATTGACATTTCTGACACCTCTGTACGAACTAGGTGGCATCCTTGTACATGTTGGGCCAATAATAACCTTGTCTAAGGACTTTATGAGCCAAAGTTCGAGCACCTGTGTGACTTCCGCAGACACCTTCATGCACTTCTCGAAATGCGTATTCAGCCTCATAAGGGTTTAGGCAGCGGAGCAGAGGGAGTGAGAAAGATCTCTTGTAGAGGACATCATTAACAAGGGTGTACAGAGATGCCTTCTTCCTCAACCTCATCTCTTCTTGTTTATCTGCAGGCACTGTGCCATCTCGTAAAAATGAGATAATTGGATCTGTCCAGCTCGGTGTGCTAGAATCTGTGCTGATCTCCATCATTCTTGGCTTTAAGAAGCTAGGCTCGTCCAGAATTTCAACAAAGACTGATCTGGAGCTTTGGTTGCCATCAAAAGCAAATTTGGAGAGGGAGTCTACTTGCTCATTTTCAGCTCGGGGTATTTTGCTCAAATGGAATTTCTAGAATTTGGATTTCAGCTCGGCCACCAGAGTTGCATACTTCATCATAACAGGATCAATCACTTCACAAACTGAGTTGACCTGATTGACTACTAGCTGTAAATCACTGTATGCTTGTCTTGCTGTAACTTTCAGTTCGATGGCTAATTGTAAGCCAAGTAGCAGAGCCTCATATTCCGCCATGTTGTTGGTGGCATCAAAATTAAATTTCAAAGCGTGTTCACTTCGGTACCCTTCGAGGCCGAGTAAGATTGCACCAGCTCTTGAACCCTTGCTACTAGATGCTCCATCAACATACAAAATCCAGCTATCCAGCTCGGGCTGAAAATCAGAGTGTGCCGAAGTGCATTCTACTATGAAATCTGCAAGAGCCTGAGCTCGGATTGCTGACCTCTGCTGAAATGTTATCTCAAATTCTCCCAGTTCAACTACCCATTTGATTAATCTCCCTGAGCATTCTGATTTTTGTAAAATTTGTCTGAGGGGCTGGTCCGTGAGGACTATGATTGGGTGTGATTGGAAATATGGTCGCAGTTTTCTGGCCAAGATGACAACTGCTAAAACTGCTTTCTCAGCAATAGAATATCTTATTTCAGCTCCATGCAATACGCTGCTAGTGTAGTAAACTGGCTTCTGTTGCTTCTTCTCTCACTAGCACAGAACTGATAGCTTCATCTGATATGCCGAGGTAAAGGTAAAGGATTTCTCCATCATCAGCCTTTGTCCGCAAAGGAGGTGAGCTAAGATAAGACTTCAGCTCGTCAAAAGCAGCTTGACATTTTGAATTCCATTCGAAACTTCTTCTGTTTGCCAGATTCATCCTTCTGGGCTGCCAATCTCATGATCTTGAAGAACGGCAGGCATTTATCTGCTGACTTCGAGATGAATCTATGAAGAGCTGCCACCCTCCTTGTCAACCGCTGTACATCTTTAATTGACTTCGGTGATTCCATCTCGGCTACTGCTTTAATCTTCTCGGGGTTAACCTCAATCCCCCTTCTGGACACCATGAAGCCTAGAAATTTTCCAGACTCCACACCGAAGATGCACTTTGCTAGATTCAACCTCATTCTGTTCTTTCTTAAATTGTTGAATGTCTCCTCGAGGTCGGTTAAGTGATTTTCAGCTTTCAAACTCTTCACCACTATATCATCAACATAAACTTCCAGATTCCGGCCTATTTGAGCTCGGAATACAATGGTAACCATCTTCTGCTAAGTGGCACCTGCGTTCTTTAAGCTGAAGGGCATCATCACATAGCAATAGATTTCATCGCTGGCATAAAACGAGGTTTTTTCTTCATCCTCATGAGCCATTGGAACTTGGTGGTAGCTAGAGTATGCATCCAAGAGACTTAATCTCTCGTTTCCAGAAGCTGCCTCAACCAGCTTGTCAATGTTTGGTATTTGGTAACAGTCTTTTAGACATGCTTGGTTGAGGTTAGTGTAATCGATGCACATCCGCCATTTTCCATTTGCCATTTGCTTTTTTCACCAACACAGGATTGGCGACCCATTCATAGTAATCAACCCGTCTAACGAAGCCAGCTTGTAAGAGTTTTTCAACTTCTTCTTTGATGACCTTTAACCTCTCCCCCCCAAAGAGGCGTCGCTTCTAGGCCACTGGTTTCTTGAGTGGATTAGTGTTGAGTTTGTGCTAAGAAACCGAAGTGGGAATTCCCGGCATGTCTGCTAAGGTCTATGCGAAAACATCTTTGTTAGCTCGGAGAAAGGTTATCAGCTCTGCTCTCTCCTCGGGGTTCAGCCGAGTTCCTATCTGTGTTTTTCTGTTCGGGTCATTTTCATCAATCTGTACCTCCTCAACATCTTCACCCGGAGTAGCTCGGGTTTCATCTTCAGGTCGGTTATCAAGGATTTCAACCCCCATCACCTGTCGACTGTCATGGATCTCTGAAGGAGGGTTCTCTGCTGGTTGGTCTTTGTTTTTCTACAGCCTTGTGACCGAAGTGAGATAGCAATGTCTGGCCACTTCTTGGTTTCCTCTGAGTGTTGCAATTCCCATGGGGGTTGGAAATTTCATGCAGAGATGAGATTGAGAGACCACAGCTCGGATCTCTGTTAATGTGGGTCGGCCAATGACAACGTTGAAAGAGGAAGGCATCTTGACCACTAGAAACCGAATTGAAGAAGTCACATAGGTTCAACCGCTTCCAAATGCAACGTTCATGGTTAGGACCCCTTCGACTGAAACTGGTTGGTTATTGAACCCATATATAGGACCATCATAACGTTGTAGCAGAGCTAGATCGAGCCCTAGGCTCTCAAAACAGTGGTAGTACATGATGTCAGGTGCACTGCCAGTATCAACAAGTACACGCTGAACTTGACAATTGTTGATCATTACTGAGATGACCAAGGGATCGTTGTGAGGCGTTACCACCCCTTTGAAATCAGCAGTGGTAAAAGTGATAGGTTGATCTTTCCAGTCAGCGTCATCAAGTTTCCTTTTCTGAGCTCGGTTCTGGTGCTTGACCTCTCTGACATATAACTTCCTTTGCTTGGAACTCATCCCTCCTGCTTCCAATCCTCCTGTAATCATGTGTATAATTCTGGCTGGGGGTGGGAGAGGAGGTGGGGCTTGTTGATGTCCCACTCATTGCCTGTTCGGTGGATTGCGGCTTCCTTGAGGCTGTTGTCCTTGTTCTTTGACAAATCTTGGCTGTTCGGCTCTCTGGATGTACTCATTCAACATTCCTTTCTGAGCTAGGCTTTCCAGCTCGGACCTCAGCATGTTGCATTGCTCTGTTGTATGACCTTGATCTTGATGAAAATCATAATATCTAGTATGGTCTCGGCTAGCAGCAGTAGTTTTCATTGGACCTAGATGCCTTAAATCCATCTTATTCTTAATCTGCATGAAAATCTGTGACCTCGGCAAGTTACAAGGAGTTCAAGTAACTGGAGGTTTACCTGCAGACTGTTGTGGAGGTGCTGAGTTCGGCCTTCCGAATCTCGGTGTGGAGGTCGACATTGGACCTCGGTTCTGTGCTGTCCTCATCCGTTTCCTGCTCGGATTCTCATCTCTCCAGTCTAGGTTTTGGTTCTTAAAGGGAGTTAGGTTCTACGACAGAGCATATTCCTCAGCAGTTATAAATTTCAGAGACCTATCATTCACCTCGCTAAAGGTGGTAGCAGGGTGTTTGAGCAAACTATCTCTGAATCTCTCATGGTTAAGACCTGAGATCACAGCTGTAATTCCCACAGCCTGGTCGAAAGAGTTAACTTCTAGTACTGCATCATTGAATCTGCTCATGTAATTCTTCAAAGATTCTCCATCCCTCTGTTTAACTCGCATCAGCTCAGAAGTAGTTTTCCTGATCAACCTTCTACTGGAAAACTTTGTGGCAAAAGCATATGCTAGTTCTGTATAAGAGCTGATGGACCTCGGAGGTAGACTGTAATACTAGGTTCGAGCATTACCTCGGAGAGTAGAGGGGAAGATTTTGCACATCAATGCGTCAGAGGCGTTCTGGACTTGCATGCAAGAGTAGAAAGCATGTAAGTGATCATCGGGATCCTTCATCCCATCATAAGTCTCAAGTTGTGGTATCCTGAAGCCAGCGGGGTAAGGTTCCAGTGTGATGTTGGTGTTCAGAGGGTGGGGTATGGAGTCAGCAGCGTGGTGTGGAGGTGGGGCACCTCGCTGTTCAGCCACTAGCTTTTCTAAACTATCTAGACGTCGAGTGACATCATCATGAAGGGGTTGCTGAGCTGGTGCTACATGAGATTGACCCTGAGATTCACTAAGAGCAGGAGCATGCTGAACTGGTTCAGGGTTTTGCTGTGGAGTTGGGAGTTGTGGAGCAGGGTTAAGTAAATTGATGAGGGGATCACCAGGGTTGTTCCGAGCTAAGAGCTAAGCCAGTACTAGCTGAAAAACACCAAACTATTGTTGCATGGTAGCGAGCTGAGCTGCAACTACGTCTTGGTTGGTGGTGGAAGCTGAGTTGTGGGCTGAGTTGTGTGGTTGATTTTCATCTTCTCCTTCTGCATGATCAACAGGAGGGAACGTATTTGGGATCGGAGGGGGGAGGTGAGGTGGAAGGTTGCTGGGGACCTGACCTCGTCCAAGAGGCTGAGATGAGTTTCCAGCTCGGACTGATCAAGTGTTAACCATGATGAGAGAGTAACAAAAGAGCTTTCAATTCGGATTCTCACAGACGGCGCCAAATGTAATTGCACCAAACCAGAAGTCCTTCTTCAGTCCACGTCTACACTCCGGGTTAACTTGCAAAGCCCCAAGGTGGATCCTCGGGGTAGACACTCCGATGCTTAAGTCAGCAATAATCGAGGCTACCTTTAGAGCAGAGATAAAAGGAGCTTAGGGTTGGTTTCAATCACCTTTTTGACGGGGCCCCTAGGGGGTATTTATAGGCTCCAGTGAGGAACCCACGTGGCATGCCAAGCAAGATAATTGGAGCCTGACGTGTATCCAAACGGTTATTTCGGGACAGGGAATTTGAGAGATATTCAGATGCAAAGACGTCCATCATAACTGCTGTGCAGCTCATTATAAAGAATCAGGTGCGGGCGTGCTTACTGTTGCTGTCATGCAGCTATTTGAACGAGAATCTTTAGATTTATCTTTCACTTCGGTTATAAAAGAATTACTGTCGTACGTCCGAGGTTGAGCACCTCGGACCTGCCCTTACAAAAAAGAAATTTTTTTAAATTATATTATTGAGAAATTAATCCTTTTAAGTTTTAAGACGAGACCAATAGTCTTTGAATCCGTAGAGTAGAAGGCAAAATAAGAGATTAAGCCTATATTAAGTATAGTAGAGACAAGTTGCATCCGTAAACTAATATTTGTTGCAATGAAATTTCAGACCCAACAAAGCTCT